TTTTAGTCATCGTTGATCGATGTCATTTCTAAAATTTGAAGGCATATCTAGATAATTATTCATACAAAAATAAATTAATATTAACCCGTATACGGATCGTTCTTTTACAAACCGGACGGATTTTGGCAAAAAACAACCTCATCACCACCAATTTGGCTGAAATTAAGCAACTTTCACCTTCAACACAAAAATATTTATGGAATATAAGAATAGGTGTTAAATGTGTTAAAATTGTTTTAAGTACGAGACTTTATTTCTCAGCTCAAAACAAATATTAAATATCCCAAATATTTGACGTGGGAGTCAAGCTCACTTAAATTAAAACTAAAAACAAAAAGGAATAGAATTGTTATACTTTTATTCTTAATACAATATTCAATGACCTTAAATGTGAAAATAACGAACTAATGCAAATTTGTATTCAAATTAATGTAGAGCATTATTGGACAGTGTAGACTGAGTCCTCAGCAGACTGGGTGTGTAGAACGAAAGATAGAACGGAGCTAAGACGCTCGATGATTCATGCGATAGATATGAATATGAAATTTTGGGCAGAAGCCGTCAATACCGTAGTTTCGTTTGGAATTGTACGGTCTCCAGTTAGTAAGGTGGACGAAAGAACAACATATATGTTACTATTTAGTCGCAAATTATAAAGACCCCCACTCAATAAAAAATAAATTTTATTATATATATAATAAACGGTTAATGGGAACACATTTTATATATAACTAACATCAATTGATCAATTAATCAATTTTTTCACAAACCCCCGGCAATTGCTACAATAATTATATTATTTACTCACTAGACATCACATCAATCATACGTATGTTATCTATTAATGTTATAACTTCATTGCAACAATAATTTGAAGAAAAATGCTTATTGTATTCTATAAATATTAAAATTATATGTTATCATGCTCTTCTCCCGAGATATGAAGATTAATTAAATATATGTTAAGTATTATAAATAAATAGGAAGTTTTAAGTACTGAAAATTTTCACTTTTCACTCTCCTATTAAAAGAAATTAATTAAAAAATAGCAGAAAATCCATTCTCTACGAATAAAACTAGTAGCTTCATAAATTAACTCTGGGTCATTAACATCCATAACCTGGCTTTAAAATTTACTAAGCTCAGATAATTTAAGGCATTATGTAGTAAATGACTGTATTAAAACGAAATGTTTTGCTTGTGTGAACAACTAATAATTTAGCTTGGATAACTAGATAATATATAATTATATATATACTTTTAAGAAATATAAGATTTCTAGTAAAATATTTTTCTTCTGACCTTGTATGTACAGCTACAACACGAAGTTATCATAATAATTATCCTTGAACAGCAGTAAACTTTCTAAAGCATCAACATACTCATCCTCTTCCACTCTATCAACTCCAACATTTTAAGACGATGTAATTTTGCAATTTTCATTTGCTAAGCTTCACGATGCAATGTGTCCACTGTATTCCCCAACTCAGTGGAACACTCCGTTGTTCCTGGTTATACTATCCTTTCCGCTGGTTAACCTTTTCTTGCTATTGTTGCATTTGAGACGGCATTGCAAATCTTGCTGCTACCCATTTCGCCTGACGATAAACACGATCTTGGGTGCTGATTTGAATAAACATAGGCGGAACCCGTATGAAATCAGACATAGGTACATCTAAATTATTTAAAATAAAAAAACTTTTGAATTATTTTAAATTATCATAACTTACTTGAGTTTTCTGAAAGTACGAGTATATTTTTAGATATATTCGTCATTCAAATATTTAGAGGCCAAGCCGCCAAGTCCATTATAGCAATCAAAATATGTTTGAAACCGTTGCAAATAATCGCACTCCTCCACATATTGCCGAATTTTGTCACAAAAGTCATCACTAAACTGTTCAGTTTTCCACAATTCAACGCCACAAGAATATGTATCAAAAGTTTAGTTGTCTACTGAATGTTTAAAATTGTTCACAACATTTACGGTCCGTGGAGGACCGGGTTATGGAGGATAACCCATGAATTGATATCTTCAGTTAAACTGTAACCAGTTTCTTCTACAGATGCATCTGGATTGCCCACCAAGACTTTTTAATATGAATTTCTGGCTTTTCCCATAACTCCGAATTGTTGTCACACGGCAAATGCTTAAGAGCGTCATTCATATCCACGAACATCTAACGAGGAGTGTAATTAGTTCGACGTTAAAATAAAAAATTATATATAATTAAATATAAATTACTTCAAAAGAAAGTTGACATATACGTACCTAAATAAAAATTTAAATAAAAAAAATCAGCCTATTTGACTTCTTAATTTAATATAGTTAAAATTATTTTATCCAAATTACAAATTATTAATTATTATTCTATTATAAATTTTAATTTCTATTATTTCTATTTCGCAATTTTCTTCCAAAAATTTGGCATCGTGATTTCGTAAAAATGTCGTCGGACGCTTGGGCGTCATGAACAAAGGACTCAACATGAAATAACAACTGCATTGAAAGATAATCTGTGATGGCAGGCATCTAGCCAGAGGGGGATCAAAAGGTTGAATTCCTATCCTATTCCCGAAATGAATTGATTAACTATATTTTTATATATGTATAGTCATTATTCATGGCAGACTAATAAAAAAATATTTTAAATTACAGTTTTCACTCAATACCTACAACCGTCAGTCTCACTTATTTGAATAAAAATTTTCCAAAAAGTTGAAGTCGATGCCTAAATCAATCCAGGAAAAATGTTTGGAGGGCATTATGTTTTAAGCAGTTAACCTAATTCCCTCCAAACATTGCTGTGTTGCATTGGATTTGAGCTATTGTAAAAAGAACTAAATGAATTTTGAATATTTCAAATATTCCTATATATGTTCAAGTTAAGATATAATTTCATATTAACAATTAATTCTAATTATTAACCCCCATAAATTCATAATCATACATAGACGGTGTGCGGCTTTGAAATATAATTTGCCCCGTCTAAAAAAAAAACATAAACACTATGCTAATATCCGCGCTGTGCCAGAAAATTGGTACCGGCAGAAACAAACAAAAGCATCCGTTGGGCAATACTTTGTCTCAAGAATGCTTCTCACAAAAAAGCTAAAAATGCAATTTCAGATTTCTTTGTTTCTCTTTGAAAAATGATTTAATAAATTTTAATTCTAAAGTTTTAGTTTTTAAGTAATTCTAAACCTGAGCAGACGTTCAGAAAATAAAGTATTCAAAACTCAAATTAAATTTGTATAATTTTTTTTTTGGTTTAAATACCAATTAAAAATATAATTTATATATGTAAATTTAATACAATAATTAGTGGGCTGAGATATTTCAACTAATCGTAGAAAATAAAATATTAGAAAAAAATAATATATAATTTATGCAGTAACGATATTCTTTCGCAAATACTCACCAGAAATTTTGTCTTCAAATATTTGAGAGTTATCTTTAATCTCTATTTGACCATTCGGTTTCCAAATATTTGACAAGCAACTGCGCATTTCACCTAACGTAAGTCCGCCATTTTGGACTTTTGTTTTTTGAAATATTTAATACGTGGCAAGACATTTTACGTGGAGGCTCAGCATTTTTACAAACATTTAGCGCGTTCACTTCCCGGATATCTGATAAACGATTGCTCAATTTAGATTATAACAGTCCTTATTTAATCATTTTGCACTTTTATTTTATAGATTTTTGTGTAACGAACACGCTCTTCACGTACCGCAATTCGTGCATTTTCACGAATGTTTGCCGATTTGGGTCCATGAATTTTTTCCAAGCGCCCACATTTTTTTCCACTATTAACTATTAAAAATGTAATCACCTTTTTAAGCCGGCCATTATTTTTTCACGATTAATAATTTATCACCTTCTTAGGGCGACCACGTTTCTTCAAATTATTAATTTCTATGTGCCTCTAACTTTCATTTTCACTACATTATTCCGACACATGTCCGAACCAATCAAGATGTACAAATAGAATGAGTTTCGGTCAGCTTCCGTTTATACATTCGTTTCCAATAAGTTCCTTTTAAATAATAGTGTTGCCATTAATAGCCGATTTTAAAAGAGTCAATCAAATGTTGTCTTTTTCAGATGTGAATATGGAGGCATTCACACCAATTCTTTTAGTTGGTTAAAACGTCCAATTCATATCCTAATAGGACGTTTAATTGTTATTTTGATGATATATAACCCAATACAAAGTAATTTTTGGTAAAAACTATTAAAATGAGGTTTAACAATCAAAATATATATTTCAATTAATAAATTTCTTGAATCAAGGAAAAAAACTTAAACATTATTATATAAAAAGCTGCAGTATTTTTATTACCAAAACAATAAAAATATGAATATTCATCATATCTAGCCTACTATATTAATTATATTGGAATTAGAAACATTTCAATAATAAATTACAGTATTACTATCAACGAAACACGATATAAGATCAAATATACATTATATCTAGCGTAAAATAATCTGAAATTCAAAATTGAAGGGAGGTTGACACCTCACTATATCTTCATACTAGACAATATAATGTATCGTTGAAATGGAATATCCGAGGAATATTTCTGGAATATTCTAATTTCGCACAGCTAAATTTTAGAGCCCATTCAAGTTGGTGAATTCACTTTTCAAGAAGTTGAAATTAATGGCAACAATGACATCGGTGTTTGTTTAAAATAAAATAGTTCATAGGATTTCAATACAATATAAGAATCTATATCTAATTCCATTCCAAGATTACAAATAATCAAAATCGTGTAAATATTTAAACTAATTCTCAAAGATTCGTGTTAAACACGAACGAGCACGACTAATAGAATGTTCCCTTTGACTTCATTAAATCAGTCATTTAGCATATGACGACATCAGTCAAATTTTAGTAGTAACTAATACTAGAAAAATGTTTTCAGAATCTTTTAATTATTTATGAATTGCATTATGAAAGGCAATAATAAAATAAATTGTTTCAATATAAAATAAATACACGTTCATATTTTTGATTTAACCATATTTTGATTTTTGTTTCGTCTTATAGGTTTAAGTGTCAAAAGTTAAGATATGAGATATAAGATATAAGATATATTCGCAGGCTTAGAGTTTTCCGAAACGCTTGAAAGTATAACATCTATAAGACGAAAATTTTTGCTAATTAGCTTTCTTTCATAAATATGTTATTATCAAAGGCGATTAAGTTGAACGAATCAGCTGATTACTAACGTCACAACTAATGCAGACTTTAAATGTTAGGAAAGCATATTAATTTCGATAACATTATGTAGTAAAACATGATTTGGCTATGATTTATTATATTATTATATTCACTCTGTCTTGCACAGTCATTGCAAGGTACACGAAGTGTAAGAATGCGAGAATTCCTCTGGCACAGAATTGTAACAGCAAAATGAAACAGCTGTTTTTGCAGCATACCACATCCACATGAGAAACAACTGATGTCAAAACAGCTGTTTTTTCATTTTTCGTTTTGTTGCGATCATATATGCATGGATTTAGGTATAGCAAGATTGGTAGCAATTGCACAAAACTTTGTGAGTATATTTTGTTGTTGTGCATTGCAAGCTCACACAATCTGTGCATTTTTTGCACTTTGCAATGAATTTGCAAAATAGATTGAATACTCCTATAGACTTACATGTTAGTATGAATTTCAATTTTAATAAGCAATCTTCGTAAGTCATTAATATTTTGAATGACTTGGGGGTTCCGACGCTTGCTAAAATAATCACGCTTTATGTTGATGCACATAAAAAAGGGCTTAAAGTTTAATGCGACACAGAAGCTTAATCACTTCATTAAACAAAAGACCTCGCACGACGGATTACAATAACCAAACCGTCTGGTTTAATCAATTACATTACATATTAATCATTATATTATAATATTATAGATATAGGCTGATATCGACTATTTTAAGTCTTCGTTGTAAAATTTTCCTAATTAATTGTTTTTTTATTACCCAGTCGCAATTGAATAAAATTGAAAAATAATATTTTACTAGCAATTGCACAAAAATTGCTAATAAAACACAGAACAAAATTTTCTGTTTTATGAATTCTGGAAAATATACGTATAATAATTTCACACAGATGAGATCAAATTCTCCACACTCTCCAATAAGGTTGCTACATCTAGTCCTAAATAATACGATTTTAGTTAAAATTTGTCAAAATAGGTACAACAAGCAAAGTTTGAGAAATGAGCGTAAGTGAATAAAAAATATATTATTAAAAAAGTATTGCTAAATATATACTTTTAGAAAAAAATAATTAAAAAAAAAAATCGCTTGCAACTGGAGTTGCCCGTAACCCAAACTTTTGCACCGAAATAAAGCAATTAATGGTTGGAATGGGTGTGAAAGAATATAGCACGGAAAGTGTTAATCAGTTGAATGATCTGTTAATTAATTTCATAAAAAATTTGATGAAAGCAGCAATTAAAAATGCCTCTAAAACAAAATTGGATGCCCCAGCTATCCTGAAGGCTCTTAGCTATGATTCGGCAAAACACGATCAGGCACAATACATAATACAATCTGAAGAATTGATTGGCAAAACACGTCGGGATGTATCTGGAACAAAAATGAGTATGAAAAATCTTAATAAGTTAGTTTGAAAAAATAAGAATCAGACGCAGATAAATTATGTTTCTGTAGTTTTATTGATTAAATAAAATTAGCTGAAGAAGTTAATGACTTATTACTAATATTAATTTTCAATACAAATCGACAAAATTGGCTTATGTTAGTGTATAGACTGGGGTTCTTGTACAGTTAGGCTAGTGTGCAGTTTACTTGCTGTGTTGTGAAGCATATATTCTGTTCTATGTTAAATTTCAAGGTAGACATATTAAAAAAACTTAAACGCGTTATAAGACAATATAATTTACTTTCTTAAAATGATTACATTGCTATATGGATAAACTAAATAACGATTCTGAAATAACAATCGGTCGTACTCAGCTGACATGCGTTAATGTGATTTTTCTACTGCAGAAGTAGTTGAAGACAATGACCACGAAAAATATTTGACGGATTCAGTCAATCGACTATATTGCAACAGTTAATTGCAAATACAACAGTTATTTTCCTTCGACTGCCAGTGTCTCTGGCGGCGACACTGGATACAATTTAATTTTCAGAATACAAATTACCTCCTTCAATTTTTATTATAAATCTTCTATTATTTTTATCAATTTTCAGAATCTTCAACTTTACAAAAGCATAGGACGTTATGAAAGAGTCCTATTCCTAACACTATAGATTTGATGATTTTAAAATATAAATGGAAATAATGATAAAATTTTAAAGCCGAAATCATTAAACAGTTTTTAGTTTCTTGATATCACATAATATTTGTTCAAATAGTTCGGAGATGGCTATCAAACATCACAGCACACCATTTTTTTCTTAAATTAGGTAATTAATTTACTATTCATTACAACAACGATTAAATATATATAAATAAGTACATATGACTTCATATTCTACAAAGCCCACTGGGAGACTCCTTTCTAATCATCTTCTTCTCAGTTCTCGTTATGACAGAATTTAATTCACTGTTTGCGTGCTGTCGCTAGATTTGGTTGATATCGATATCGTTTGCTTTGAACCATGTTGTGGTCACAATTGTTCTGTTATTTTAACCAGAATTACCTAATTCATTAAGCGGTTTCGGAAAAGTGAACTCATTTGAACTCAATTTTGTGGGTCTATCAGTCTTTTCCAGATGTATCTATACTCAGCTGATTTTCTCGAAGCACTTATGTTGTTTCTAATGAGTTTGGTTTCTTTTGCCAATTAGTAGCTTTAGCTTTCTTCTAGAACCTATGTCAGTTGCATCATTCGAAACAGTTTAAAATTCATAACACACACTCTCAGACACATTAGTCTATGAGTTCCTGTAAATTCTTTCAAGTAAGCCTTAATTATAATTAATTAAGGGAACCAAGAAATTCTTGGTTCTTTCAAGCAACCAAGAATTTCCGTTGTTTTGTTTTGGTCACACTAAAGTATTTAATATGAAGACTGAAAGTCATGAGGACACTGCCAATTCAGATGTCAAGATTTTCAAGTTTTTTTTCGACTACTTACCAGTACTACTAATAGAAGATTGCGTTTCAATAGCCAATTCTCTACGTTTTGAATTGTTTCACTGCATTTCACTGAAACATGTGATTTGGTTTTTAATACAACTTCTACAGTGCAACTAACTATTGCCACTCTTTTTGATTTTTGTATCCCTAAGATTCCAGCTTAGGTGTCATATATTAACGTATTTTCTGAGAAATAGCTTCTAATATTTTTTAGCAAATGAACAGTTCCTTGTAAGTCTACAAGAAATTAACTATATAATCTCAACTTGCTAAGTTGAGTACATGTTTTTCATCTAATCTAACCACTGCACACATTTTATCGTCTCCTAATCATCTCATTCTTACAGTAGTGATAGTGATTGATACTTGATTAAAGTCATACTGATTTTCTGACAGACCTACTCGGATTTTTCCAAATTTTAGTAGATTATAAATATTTTTTCACATATTTTTTCTATGGTCAATGTGTTCCTTTTGGAATAAATACTTACTTTTATTTTTCCATCGCATGGGAATATGCAATAGAGACGCATCGAGAACCGGTACAGTTAAAAATTTAATTATTTTTATAAGTTCGAATGGGTTTTATATTGCAATTCATATTTGAATAATGTGATGCGTCCTAAATATATAAATTGAATTAAAATTTTGACTGCGATTATTTCAATAATTGAATTTTCATAATGATAACTTTCTCTGACGTCAAAAATTTTGTTTGGTTAACAATACTTTCCTTCTAATACCTTGTAAACTCTTGATAATCTAAGTGTCTTCAGCAGTAAGAATTAATGAATCAATCATGAAAGGAAAAGGATGTTTTTAAATCATTCATTCATTCCAATGTTCTATCGACTGGTTTATTTTTTAATAAAGGATATTTACAATTCAAGATATATAAGATTTATCTAGTCTTGTGAGAAAAGTTTTGAATTCTTTATATTGTTCTGTTAGAATTTTCCCTGCTTTTTCATTAATTTAATGTATGAATTCCTTTCCCTTAAAATTATTATTTGTATTTATTTTATACTAAATACTATTGGCATTTCCTACCAGTTTGACGTCACCTAAAGCGTAAAAAAGATTTGGAGGCTGTCGAATATATTCTTATTTATTAAAAAGTCCACACTATTAAGAAATGTGA